CGGTCATCGCTTATCTCATTCTCATACAAGATAAATTTTATTAACAAGCATTATTAATTACCCGATAGACGCACTTTCTACTTCACGCCGTTAACCGGTTATCTTTTGTTTATTTATATCCCTCATCTCATATATAATCTACGTCTCTACACGTCAACTGTTAGGACGAATATCTCTTGACAACGAAAGCTCCGCATCAGTACACTTTCCAATATTTCGCACGACGTACAATATACTCGATCGAATTTTCACTTTCATATCAATCCTCGATGCATATTTCAAATATTGCAGCATACAATAATTTACTTAGTCCGCTCATCAAGCATCACTATTCATCGACACTGTCGCTAAAAGCTACAAACTTCGAAGAACCTTCCTAAACTTCAGATTCTTGAAACGTATTAAATCATACTCAACAAAGTATCAATGCCAAGCAGCAAGAAACAGTTCCAAAACAGATATTTAATCGTGCAAACCTACATTTTATACCTACCGAGATGAAAGGGGATTCAAACTTTCCTAGAAACCAGCATTTAATCATCAGATCGAAAGTGGCCGATCGAACGTCACAGGAGCATCGAGTTGCGCAACTCGGCTAGGAAGAGCTATCCTGGATCAACAGCATCCAGCTGTTCGTTCCTCGGCCTATCGAAGGATCGATCAATCCTGTCGAACGGGACGCAGGCGTTGCTCGCTCGCGTGGAAGTAATCGATCATCGTCGGATTTCGCAGGTGCAACAGTACGGAAGCCCCTACGACCCCTACGGCTCGTGCAGCCCTCGACTGCAGTCCACGGCGTACACGTCGACCTCGGCGACGGGCGCGGCGAACGCTGGTAATCCGGGAGGTCTTCACCAGGAGGCGACCGCGGTGTACGTAACCGGTGACGCACTCCCGCCGCTGGCGTCCTCGAGCTCGTCCTCGTTGTCGACTACGACCGCTTCGTACACGAGGTACGAGGTTGTGCCAAGCTCTTACGCGACGACACACGCGATACGCTCGTCCTCGAGCAGCAGCAAAGTCCTGACCGTTGATCTTCCCAGCCCTGACTCCGGCATCGGCGCCGACGCGGTCACGCCCAGGCAAGATCATCATCCACCCACGGCGCTGCATCAGGTTAGTGGAGAGACAACGATGTTACCGGTTCGTTATGCTCGGCTGAACCCTCCTCGAGCCTACATTTCATTTACTTTCTTCCACTCATTACCGATCGGGGGTAGGCGATGTTACCTCTGAGAATCGCGGACGTGGTAGACGTAGTCTTCGAGATTGGGGAGTAGATTGATTTGTAATTTTGCGGCGGTGATTCCGGCTTGACAGGCTGACATTTACTTCGCGTTACTTGGAGGTAGCTTCCCGGATACTGGGGATATTAACAGTAAACGTACCAACACTTTATATGTAACTATTTCCACTCTAAACAGCTGAATAATTATGCAATAATAAAGGTGAACAATTTGAATGATAAATTGACTAATCGGGGAATATAAGAATTGAGAGAAAGTGAAATGGACGGAAGGAAGTAAAGACTTTTTAAATTTTGAAACCGGTCACTTGATCGGTCGCGGTACGGTTAGTGTTAATATTTGTTAATGATTTGACGATTTAGTATCTACTGATTGTTAATGGTAGGAATTTGGTTTGAGAATCGTTGACGCGATTAGTCTTCGAGATTGAGAATCAGATTTATTGGGATTTCGATTGAGAGAATGTTATTTTAGTATTATTTAATAATCTAGTAGTGTCTGTGAACAACGATTATGTAGCAATCTCGAAGATATATTACTACGATCAATAATACTTGTTTAATATTTTATCGAAAAGAAATAACACATTTCTCTACCTTATAACTGTAGGACTCAAAAATCCACTCTCCACTATTGCAATCACTCTCAATCTTAACATAATTATAAACAACAGCTACCTAAACAGTGATCATTAACAATACAGTAACAGGTAAAGGATTTTCAATTCGTATCATCAAACGATAATCGATGGATTTTCTTGCGGTCCCGCAGTTAAGTGGCACTCGTGCAGAACCATCCTCGATATTCGCCCGTGCACTTTCGCCGTCGGACGGTTTCCCCCCGTCGGAATCACTTTCCATCGGCGTTGATTTCGTGCCCAGACACCGTAAAGATGTTTTGATCGCTACTAACAAATTAATCGGACAACACCTACCGTTAAACCGTTATCGCGCTCCGTCGCCGTACCTCTTTATACCTCCCACCCCGAAAAGTCTACGGTAGGCATATAATAACTTCTTCGACGCGCAATAATTTTCTGCTTGCGCGCTCTCTCGGAACAGAACTTCAACACGGAGAGCCGGTAACGACACGAGCGTTTTACATAATCAGCAACGCATATCTCGCCGGGATACTGACACATTTATTTATACCCGATGAGAATCATATAATACGGGGCCACTTCTTTTACACGGCGTCGCGAACGTGTTACGCCTGCGCTCCGCGACGGATCTGTGGGTGGAAAGGAAAGTTTCCGTCGAAAAACCGCCCCTCGCCGCTCGATCGCTGCACCGAAAACGTTGATCCTGTGCTGTTCCAAATGCTCCGGGAATTATTTCATTAATATTTTGCCTGTTCTCTTTAAATATTCCTCGAACTACGAATTTTTCAATGTACTCTTTTTAACCCTTCATAGACAGATGATTTCTTATTTCTTTTAATTCTTACAAATTGTCGATGATAGGAAAGGAAAGATGATAGGAAAAATGATAATTGAATAGTAAAGGAAATATATCAACAGTTTTGAGAGTTGCATGTATTAAGTCAGTGAGAAAGAGACATCGTTAATGATATTAGTTCTAACATATTTGTTCACACTGTATCAAAGTACACGAGAAAATAGTTCAGTAAACGAGGTTGATGAATTGTTAATTTTTTATGAAACAGTGAACAAAGTCGTGCGGCTCGATTTTCAAAGAAGATTTATGGAACGATTGTAGCGGCCGATGCGATAATATGGAAATAGAATTGAATTGATCTAGATCGGTTGTTAATTACAGTCACGTGTGCGATAAGCGTCGTTGGTTACATTACTTTGTGATCCTGTCGAGCGTGTAAAATTAATTATGCGTAGTAATATATTTCTAAAACTTTCGACACTTATAAAAACTCGTGACTAAGCGTTTCCTGTTAGAACAAACGAAACTGTTCGCGAGATACAAGAAAATCTCGTGGTTTCAATCGCTGTTTGAAGTTTGATCGCTGAAACACGCTGCTGATGTTGAAGTCTCCAGTAAATGTCAACCGAACGAAGACTTACAACTCATTGAAGACGGAACATTATCGCTACACACGAAAGAAACTCACAAAAAAAGGCAGCATAAGTTCACAATGAAACTTTAAAGAAACCTATGCATGTAGGTATTTATAAGGAGCGACATGAGTTTCTACCCAAACTTCACCAGCCTACAGTCTGCTTAAAAATCAAACGAAAACATCGTGTAACAACTCACAAACACTCGACTGCATTTTATCGTGTGACATTTTAACTTTCATTCCGATCTAAACACGCTGTCAAGATTTACAAAGAAACGCATTGGAGACCCCATAAATCAGTAAACTCATAAATTCATAAATAACGCTGACAGGCAAAAACCGCGCATTTTTCGCGCGAAAATCAACCGACGAAAGTGGCCTATTAACGAGTTACGAAATCGAGGACGAAGGGAAATAACAATATAAAACGAAGAAAAATCCCGAAATTTCACTTCACGCGTCGCAAACAGGTAGCGACACGGACACGGGGTAGGTTTTTCCCGTCACTTCGAGACTCACCGATTCTTTTCCACGTCTCCGCGATCGCCCGCTGTTCCGCTAATGGTGTCTAATAAGCGCCGTGCTTAGAGATAAACGGGAATGAAAGACGAAAAAACGAAGGAAAAAGAAAATAAAAAAAGAGAAAAAGAAAAATCGAACGCAAACGAAAAACCGCGGCGAGACACGTTTCGACTCGTAATCGGTCGGTTCGGCGCGTTGCGGAAGTCGTCGATCGGTCAGTTTATCCGAAATTGCTTCTCGAAGCGAGACGGTTTCACCGCAGCGAGGAAAAGGGACAACGGGACAGCGTCAGCGGCGGGGGGAAAAACGAATTTCACCGCGCCGCTCGAATATGAATATTTTAATTACCTCGCGGACGTATCGGTTTTCAAGCGGGTTGCGCGGCGTTGCACACCGCGCGACGCACACGCGTGCACGGTGGACGAGCTCCGGCTTTTATTTGCCGCGGCGTGCAAGCAGAGCAGAACGGAACGCGTGCTTTCTAATTCGTAATGTCAACCGCAATGCTAATGACTTACTCGCGCGGATAAACCGCTCTGCCCCCGTCGCACGATTAATGTTTCCGGAAGCGGCCGATTACCGGCGACAACCGAATCGCGCGTGGGAGTGATGAATCGGTTATGGCGCGGCGTGGAAGCACCGAACGCGGCGAAAATTACGCGACAGATACACCGCGAGCTTATAATTTATAAGGGACGATATCCTTGACGCGAAAATCGTTCCTAATATTCCTCTCCCTTTAGATTTCGCGCGTAGACCTCTTAGCTTCGAATCGATCACGACTGAGAAATTCGGATATGTGAACTCTGTTTTATACAGGAGGAGTTGTGGTAACAGATTAATTACGAGAAGCAGTCTGGAATTTTGTACGGAGTTTATTCCGGTGTTTATCCTTGAAACGAAATTATCAGCAATGTCGGGTCTAGATGCAAATAATCCAATTATTTGCTCCTTTAAAACGGTAAACCGGTTTAAATTCAGTCTACCCGCCCTTTTCGCCGTTTAAAACGGACGCGTGTAATCTCTTGATTTTCTCTTCTTAATAACGACATTAAAGTAATTGGAGTAATTTAGTTTCACCGTGGACGCGCTAGAACGATTCGCTTTAATCCTGAAAATACTTGAATGCATTCCCTTCGTTAAGACCCCGATCCGAATCGAACACGCTCGGCTTTTCCTCCGGCGTAATTTCATTCAAACTTCGTTGAATTTTCACTCCAACTGCCGTAGGAGTCAAATAAAATCGTGAACAACAACGACGTGCTCGCCCGTCCGAGAGATAGTGACAGAAACGTGTCTGATACAAGACAAAATCGTTATGATTCAGCGCGCGAAGGATCAAAGGAACCCACCGACATCGGCATCCGATAAATCACGAAAATCGCCGGACCTCGATCACGTTGATCACCAATTTTTCCTGGACACGCAAAAAGCACGAGTTTTTTTGCGTCGCGGTATCGTCGGCGAGGTTGTCACCGAAAACAACAAGACGAAGAGAACGCGAGGATAATAAAGCGAACGGTCGGCGCATGCAGATCTCGGAACAAGCGCAAAAACCGGACGAAGAGGGGCGGAGACAGAGAAGAACGAAGTCGGGGCAAAAAAAGAAATCGCCTGATTATGTCGTCCGCTTAATCGGTCGCTAATAATACACCAAACTTTGTTCCGGATCGCGGTTTCGCTTGAGGCGCGCGTCAGGTTTACGGGTGTAACGCGCGGGAAACAACGGAACAAAAGGAGGAAAAACGCGTTCTAAAAGAATACACGATGATTTTAAGTAACCGCGACGAGGGTGGGAGGAGGAACCGAGCGATCACGACGCAATTAGACGAATCGATCGAGGAAAAAGCTATCGTATCGCAGTCACCGACGGTGGCCGCGATTAATTAATCGGCAAAGGCGTCCGTGTTTATCGGCGAGCTTCGCCGGTCTCGTTCGTTTTTCCGTCGCGTTCCTCTGTATCCCGGGTGTACGACTGTAGCTCGAGCCTCGCGGGAAGCCGCGCCGCCGCGCCAGGCCGTTTCCCAGCATAATTAGTCGGAAGTCAGCGGACCGTTTCGCAGATAAAATGGTAACCGATTAGGCGTGCCGTTCGAATATAGTATTATTTCTAATTGCGGATCGACGCGGTATTAATTTATTGCGTTACGCCGATTGCGACGAGGCGAGAACGCGTCGGGGTACCATGGGATCGGAGGCATCGGCTGGATCTATTCCGCTGGGAAAAGGGCATGGCGAGACGCATCGGCGCAGCGCGGCGCGCGGTTCGTTTCTGCGTGGCTCGATGGATGGCTTCCGCGATGCCGTTCGTCAGGCCGAGTAACGAGCTACGGGTAACCGCGTTACATTCGAGGCGAGCCACTCCATGAAGACGTACGAGGGAATAAACCGTTCGGCAGACCGCTTATTAACAAACCTCCGCTCGGAGCACGCGCGGCCGGTCCCGGCCAATTTTACGAGACCGCAAGGCCCCTATTCTACTCTTCGGCTCCTTCCTCCTTTGTTTCGCGGAACAGCCCACGGGGATACGCCGCTGACTACTTCAGGGTGGATCGGCCACGTCGTTTCTCCGTCTTCTTTCTTCCTTTCTTTCTTTCCTTCTTCCTTTTGCTTTTTTTCTTCATTTTTGTCTCTTCTGGTATGGGAAAGTTACGTTCGTTACCGCTCGGTGGAATTTATCGACGATGCGATCGGATTCTAATGAAGAGCTGGTTGGGAATGTTCCGCTTCCGCTTTGGACACTTTGCGGCTTTATGTTCGGGGGCGAAGTGATCGATTATCGGTTGCGTTGTTGGCGATAATAGTGATTCTTTAGATTCGGTGGAGTTTTAGGGGATTCCATTGTCAGTAACTGCTAATGAGTGACGGTAAAACTGCGAAATTTCTATGTTGTATTTGTATTAGACAAAGCAACGATGAACGATTGTTCGTGGATCAAGTAATGAAGGATTCGCTTCTGATTTGAACAGTCCTCCTTCGACTACACGGAATTGTGTCCCGGAGGAACGGCGACCGGAACCGCGGTGGTCCTCGAGAGCGGCGCAGTGATACACCACCAGCCGCTGCAGCTGCAACTGCAACAGAGCCACGCACAGGCGCAGGTGCAACGTGGAACTTTGGTATCCTCGGCCGCTACGAACCCGAACCCCAACCCGAATCCTCCGAGGTCGCGACCTTGGCACGATTTCGGGAGACAGAACGACGCGGACAAAATCCAGATACCAAAAATGTAAGTAGCAAACATGATGCTTCTTCCTTCTGCAAACTGTCCTCTAGTATCATGATTCTTGAATACAATAATTAAATCTTCCTGAAACTTCGTTTTAAATTCACTAAGATGATAACATAACTCGACCAGAAACATTCACGCAGCAATCAACATTTTTATTTACGCCAAAACCACCGGGCAGTTGAATTGACTTTTTGAAATTTCTCTATAGAAATTCCAAGAGTGTCTACTGGGACTTCAATTAATTTCATTCATTTGAATTTATTGCTAAATCAATTTCTTTAATAACTTCTCACAGGAACATGTATCTTCTTAACAATCGCTAAAAGATATATAAAATGGGTCACTTTTACCAGTCTGATAGTTTTATCGTTAAATCTCTTAGCAAAATGTTCCTCGATGTCTCCGATGATCCCTTTCACCAGTTAAGGGTTGACACCCTTGATCCGAAGATTTCAATGCTTCAACGAATTTCCATTTTCGCTTCACATACCCTATGAAGCCAGGATACTCGACGTTAACTTGCGAAACTAGCATGAATACGTAATTGTAGCTCGTTTTAGGGTGGTCCCTGTTCACGACGATCAGCCTGTAACCTACAGGAGAGTTTCTAATAAGTCGCAACGAGGTAGGCGTTGCGGTGAACAGGAGCAGAAGTGTTGTAGGCCGTTCACCCAGGCTGGGCTCGGTTATATCGGCTGGCGCGTACCACGCTGTCCCGCTTGTTCTCCGTCGGCGAACGGCGCGACCGTGCTAAAAAAAACCGCAGAGAATACGAAACCACGCTGCGCCGCGTCGGTCCGCGACGCGTGTCGTCGCGGCAGATAAAGATAATAGGTCGAGCAAAGTCGGTGGAAAGTCCGCTGTTCCTGCTGGAGAAAAGCTCTGCTTTGTAATCTTCTTTTATTTCGATGCTGTGTGTCTAGAAACGCTCCTAGTCGTTCTAAAATTAGAATCGCAGGAAAGTAGACTTTTGTCGTTATTTTATTAGATAATTTGCATAGAATATTTGCGAATCGTTTGACTCTTTTCGAATGCGAAATGTAAGAGTATTCGAATCGAATTCTAACAAGAGAATGATTATTTTCGTTTTTCTTTATTTCGACGGCAAAAATTGTGAGTTTCGTTTTCTTATTATCATTGGAACTGGTCGTTCGAGAAATTGATTCCTGAAAAGCATTCAATTGATGGTATTCAAATCGAATGGTACTACCGCGAGACAACAACGTGAAATGACAAACGAATCTTTGATAATCTTCTCCTCGGGCGCTTCGATTACTATGATAAATAATTCCGATTACTCCGCGTGAAGCTCGGAACAACTCGGCCGCTCGTCAATCTCGATGAATTCGAAGCAGGCAGGAATCAATCGGCAATTATATTCCACACCGATTAAACAGAAAATCATCGACTTCGCGGTCTGTTTATCTGGAAAATGCTGATCTCCTCGTTTCTTTTATCGCGAACCTCCATTAATGTATGAAAATTACAGTCTTGTCCTGTCTGTTCGCGCTTTTGTCGATAGCTAGAATCGGAGACGGTACGGTTCTCTGTCTTTTTTTTTCCTTTTACCGATCAACCGACGCCGATAAATCAACGTGGCGTGACGCGGTTGCCGATGAAGACCAATTACATGGCCGCAGGAAAATTGTAACTGTTTTTCTCACGTACGCACATTCTGTCCGCAGATTCTCCGCCTATGGGTTCAAGTATCACCTGGAGTCGCCAATTAGCACGTCGCAGCGCCGCGAGGACGACAGAATTACATACATCAACAAGGGACAATTTTACGGAATCACGTTGGACTATGTGCCGGATCCCGACAAACCGACCCTCAAGACTGGACAGACGGTTAAGGTGAGCGAAAATACCGATTAGAAATTCGACGATCCAATTAGTGACCTATTTTTACAGCCAACCACGATTTTAACTCATTTTTCGTTAATCGTCGAAGAAGAGCAAACAATTTGGATGTATTTCATTCGTTTATCGAGTAATATACTTCCATGAATTTGGATATTTAATATTCCCACATTTACACGAAAGAACGTAACATGATATGTAATGTTCGTTCATTTTTCGCTAATTGTAAATAGAGCAAACAATTTCTATGAACTCTATTCGTTGATCGATCAAGTAATATATTTCAATGGATTAGTTAACATTTCCAGATTTACGAAAGGAACAATCATAATGTATAATGTACTGTAAAATTCATGGAATTTTAATATATTTGCATGATTTGTATACTTTTTCGATTAACCTTATTTTCTCCGATCATGCGAGTTTTTTTATTCCTGCTGGGAGACAGGAGAAAATGACCCCAATGTCGTTTATTTTAATACACGTATCATTAACTCAAAAGATCGTACAGTCTTATTTTTTAAATGTTTAGTAATTATAGGCAGAGCTTCGGGAGTGTCGCGATTACACGGCGCCAGCGAAAAATGGATTAAGATCGTACAGAGTTGTTGAAAGTCTGTAATCACTACCTTGATGAACGGAATTAGGTGGTGATGAAGAATGATAATTACAGTATAACGGAGAAAACAGAGTTGTCGTATTAGAAATGTTCTGTAATTTGTCAAACGTGTATATTTAATTTCCTGCTTGAGAAGAAAGTGATACTTCTATGAAATCCAATGGTACAAACTATTAACCGATGTCAGAACAGAAATTCGAGGCGATAAGAAAGTAATTAAGAACAGTTCCTTCGTAATAACGATAAAAAGAGATTCATTGTCCTTTTCCAATCGCATCCATTAACCATCTACCTCAATAACCCCATTTTGACGAAGCACGCTGTCTGGAGCACGAACCATAGAATTAGACCCTACCGCCGAAACACGAGAAAATAAACGGGAGAAAAAATTCACTAGGAACTCGGCGAAAAGCAAAAATCAGCCTATTACATTCCACCGATTATCCAGAAAGCCATTATTCATTAGTCCCATGTAACAGGCGCCATTCTCGCGGCGCGGAACGGCGGGAAGGCAAACGGCATTCGAATCGCGTCGTCACTTCATTAACCCTTTGCACTCGAAAGTTTTCATTAGAAATATTTCAACACGCACAATATTTCAATATTTAATATGAACTTAACGATAAGATATTTGTTTAAAACCAAGTGAACACCTTATAACAACTATATAAAGAGAATTTAACAAGCATAATTCCTTGACTCTTTTGAATTCAAATTAAACATTATTGTCCTGTTATCGATAATTATACGTTAGAGCAAATGTAGTCATAGGGTATACCCAGAATCTTTCTGTTCTCTCAATAAATTATTACTAACAGAGTAGTTGTATCGATTCTCATTGAAAAATAAATAGTGCAAGGGGTTAAAGAAAAATCACGCACAAATTAACAAGCTCAGCCATTTCATTAAAATATTTCACTGAACAAACTATCAGACTTCACAATTTCACCACACCGAATCAAGTGACGACCGAGTCGCCTCCGAAGCGCAAAGAGTTAAAGAAACCTACGGAATCGCTCAACTGGCGCGGCAGCCAGGCAAAAAAGAAAAAGCGTAATCGGTTTACAGGGGATTAATGTGGCAAGACGAAAGAGGGCAAATCGATGGCGCGCGAGTCCCTCGAACCCGAGCATCCACGGCGGAGACGGAGCACCGTGGAGGGAGGCAAACAGCCTGGAACAACCCTCCTCGCCCTCCCCCACGTTCGAATCGCCGCACCGCTGAACGCTCGATTAGCAATTAACGAGGAAGTCGTAACTCCTCTTGGCGGGGAGCGGTGGACGGGAGCCGGCCGTGGCGGGACGTGGAAGCGGGAGGGGAAGTGAAAAAAAAAGGATCGGCAGCTTTATCAGGATGGAAATTGCTAACGGTGCGCCGTGCTGCCAATTAGAGCCGCGAGAACAAACGACCTCGTCCGACTTCTTCTTTCGGGCTGCGCGAATTCTATCGCTCGTAGGAGTCTGTAAACGAGCGTGAAACGCTCGCGCGGGGTACGCGCGCCGCGGCTTCTAATGCAATTTAAGAGAGGTGCCGTGTTCACCCGCTTATGCGCGTCCGGTTATTGTTTATCGCCGTTCGCCGCGTTCTTTTCGCGGACGATCTCCTTTCGCGTCGACCAAAAGGAAAACATCGCCGGCTTTCCTCGCCCCTCGGCTGGAGACCAGGCCGATCTCGCGGGATTCATGGGTGCACGCGTGCTCGCAGCGCTAGGGGATGAGCCACGGGGCAACGTTATGCTCGCGTTGCGGACGTTTATGGGAATTCCTGTTCGTAGAGGATGTTTTATGGCGAACGGAATCGATGAAAAATTGATTTCATCGTCTCAGCCTGTGCAGGTTCTTTTGTTTTAGCTAGGTTTTATTTTGTTCCTTGATGGAGGTGTTGAAGCGTGTTGAAGCGAGATGGATTTATGCCCGTGGATTTCTGGTGAATGGACGTGTGAAAGGTTTCTCGCGTTTCTGGCGACGCGTCCAGTTGAGGCGAGAGTCAACGGAGACGCGTGTTAACGCTTCATCGCTTGAAAGTTTATTATGAGGCTTTTTCGTGTTGTGTCCTCGGAGATATATGCATTCTTCTGATTTTCTTTTAATTGAGAATTATGAAGGAAGTTGTTACGTTGCATGACCAATGTTGCTTTAGTGTGTTTTATTGGACAAGCGTTAAGTTAGAAACTTGTTTCCTACGCTAAACACTTCGACGCGTTAAAAGTAATGGCAAAATAATGATTATTTTACTGCCACGCGCGCGCTTGCGGACGCGACGGATTCATAAAATGCATATTTTCATTTTCAGACAAGAGATTCATTACGGATGTACCCGCGCGCGACTAGAATCGTGTTAACACTTATTTATTCTACCTTCTCGTTCACGCCATTCTTTTTATGCCCCTTATAAAATTAATACGCGCGTTAAATACACCATTACCTTTTTTATTATTATTACTTGTGCGGAAACACGTGGATTTCAGATGAAATTTCATTCAACCAGTCATGCTGTAATTTAATTATATAATTCATAAAAACTGTTATCTCAATTCCGTTCGATCTTTCGTAGCCCACATACTTATACCCCGGTATATTAAAGTAATATCTTTTAAAATTCATTTTCATCCGTACCAATCATGTTCTCACCAAAGTTAGCACATAGGTAAAAATAACCTATTTCAAGTTTCTTCCCTCACAAATAGTAACATCCACATCCATCTCCCAGGGAACAATGAAATAACTGAATTTAATGACACCCAAACTAACAGGGAAACCTTTCCAACCAACACATACCGATTTTGATGAAACATCCAGAATTGGAAGAATATTTTTCGCAATATCTCTGAAACTAGGAAGTGTAGAAAAAAAATTCTTGTTTTTAAATTATTCGTCTCGAAATGAACAATTTAGATTTCTTTCATACACCCCATACTTTCAGAGATATTGTACAAAAAATATGCTTTTAATCTTGAACTTTGAGGGGTGTTTTTCCCCCCTTCGAAGTGGATGTTGACCGACATGAAAAAAGAACTACGTCTCTCGTAAGTTTCATCAAAATCGGCGTGTGCAATTTGAAAAGGTTCCCTTCTAGTATATAAGACACTTCTAATTCCTATGAGAAAACATAACGCTGTCAATTTCAATATTCGTTCATTTAATTGTCAAGTATTTATCGCTCCCGTCGAGCAAGCGGCCAGAACTAGCAACCTGAACTTTTTCCGTTTCGTTCGCGTGGTTCCTCTGTCCTCCCATTAACATCCGATCTGCCAATGGGAGCCGCATTAGCCGGGTGCGTGCAATTCTTCGACCATTCACCCGAATCACGAAAAATCGGCGCAGAACGTGCGCCGGTCTGCGCACTGGACCGTGCTTCTGTCGCGACCGATGTCACGCACACGCGGGCGACGCGTTATCAGGGGCTTTTTCGCCGCCTACCATCGCCGAAGTTAGCCAGCCGGTCAGAAGAGAAACGCGAATGGTCGCCTGATCCCAAATTATTTGTCGGCAATCTGTACCGGCGGCCCCGCCGGCCCATGAATGTTAAACCCATGAAAACGGCACCGGGGACACGTGTAAGTAACTGGTTAGCCGCGAAGGTTAACGTTTTATCTGATCGTCGGACTGAAACGGCGGGACAATAAGGAAACTGTACCGGGCACGCGATAGAAGTCTCTATCGAGACGCGTTTTGCACGCGGAACGACGCTGTCCCCGTTTCAGACGCAGCCGATCAAAAATCGGAACGATTCGCTCGTTAATCGCGTTACACGCTTGGCGTTCCTTTCTCGGGAGTCACCGCTCTATCATTAACGTCTTTTGTTTGGGAGACAAGGAATATTGTGCTGGCTGAATATCTATAGACATTACTCTAACGATCGAATATTGATATCAGACGAACGGTAGGTTTGAAATTCAAGTCAGTTACCGTTCGATTCAACAGAGGAATATTAGAAAATTTCAACTTCCACGTTATTGTATAATATATCGACACGCGAAACATTCAAATCCAATAGTCTCTTGATTTCTTCCATATTGATCTTCGTATAAGTTGTACGAAATATGGATTTTATCGGAAAGTAATGAATATTTATAACAGGATATATTGTCAACTGCAAAGTGTAAATATTCGCTGAATTCTGTTTAGTACCTCCTAAGTTCGATACTCCAAGCTGCGGAGCTAATATACTACCGCGGATCTTCCAAGGAAATCGCATGAATAGTTCGTCGCTGAGCTATTTAATCCACGTACGGGTTATAAATAACGATACCTAACGATCAGTGCCGTCCTGCGACAGAATTATCAGCTGGAAATCCTAATTCGATCAATTTGTATCCAGTAGAACCTAGGACGCGGCCCGTTGAATTTTTCCCGAGCGCGCGGTGTTACGCGTCGAAACCCTATATCCCGTAATTACAGACCGGGAAGCGTTGCTCCGGCCGGGGCGGCCATTTCGCTCGGAACAGGCGATCCAGGACGAAAAGACGGATAGTCAGAAAAACGGGGGGTGTAAGAGGGAAAAAAGGGACCATACGTGCCAGTTCTCTCCCGATTAATCAGCATAATTGCCACCGTGCGACGTCGTTGCCAATGAATCACGCAACGCGTCGCGTCGCGCGTCGACGGAAAAATCGTCGGAAAGACGGCTGTCCGATGGGGACACGGGCCGGCCGTTTATTGGGAATTAGCAGTGTCGAATGCAGCGATTTATGCTACCGGATTATACGGTACCGCGTGATTTATACGCGCTGCCCGATCGACCGTGTCCACGTGTCGCCGCGCTCACGCGAATTTCGCGCGTTTTGCTCGCGTGCAATCGCGCGAGCGTCTCGTGTTTCCCGTCGGTTCCGCTTCGCCATTGTGCCTCGATCCTCCTTCAACCCTTTCCGACTCTAAATATTCTTCGTTCATCATTGAGAACATTAACATCAACGTTAACTCAATCACTGTTCCCTATGGCGTTTTAATCATTTGTTCGAGAACATTTGATGTCATTACGAGATTGCAAGTAATTATAACAAAGACAGAGTCTTGCTTTTTCACAAAATGAAAGATAAGAGACCTTCAAGAAGATCTTGAAGAAGAAGGATTAGAGATCTTCATGTACTCTTCTAAAACAAAACGTTTTCCTGCAAATCACTCGTGCGGGTTTTGCCTAATTAATGTTATATAAAATGTTACAAATTCTTGTGACAATGAATACTTTAACACATCGATCGCCACAGTGGCCACCGATAACCGAAGCGTCCATGGTACTTGAAAATAATTATAAGAAGAAATCCGATGTATCGAAATATTTAGTTATGTAGGTAGCTAAATGATAGTGTAACTTAGGAGTTATGGTACCAAATCGTTGCTAATTCATTCTAATATCATTTGCGTTTATTACGATACGATAAGTAATGTTATATGAAACGATCTGAATGTTCGTTGCGGTCAACGCGTTAACATAAGTAGATATCGAAATGAAATTGAATGTTGAGCTCGATTCGACGTAGGATCCTGAAGAGTTAATCTTTAAAGGAATTACGTTATCTGGAAGAAACTGGGGTGTGAGGAGGGAAGGATCGATCGGACGTCGCGTGATTATCCGTAAAATTCGAAAAATCCCGCGCAACCGATCCGTAACCGGTCATTGATGCCTGTCGATACCGGAATCTCTGTAATTTCCGTTGCATAATTGCACGCTGCCGCGTAATTTACGATGCGCGCGGCTCGCACAACTCGACAAGCCTCTGTCGCGTAAACACGCTCGAAAACTTTCGACCGGCGATCGTCGCCGATTCCGCTCCCTCCCTGCCGTACTCCGCGGGGCTCTTCCACGAATCTCGTTAATCCCAGACATCCTGCCGACTGTTTTTTCCCCGCCGCTTCCTGTCGAAAATGAGCAAAACCCTGATCCTGCGGCGGCTTTCTGGAAAATCGTCGCCATTTTAGTCGAGGGGGAAACGTCACAACGACGTCCACGGTAGACGTTTATTTTGAGAATTAGCGAACGTTAGTTAACACTAATCGTACCGACACTTTGCATACACTTATGAATATTGTAACCGGTTAAATGATCGTTTTTATAATCAAATAATGAAATTAATAGAATTCAATAATTATAATTGGCTACAAAAGAAAGGTGAGAAAATTGGATGATACATTTTTCTTAGTGGAAGTGCGAACAAAAAGAAGGACAAAAATTGGAAAAAGGCAATATAAGAATTGATATAAAGTTAAATGAACGAAAGGAAACAGAATTTTTAATGAAATTATAAAACCGGTCGTTTGACCGGTTGAGGATGCGGTTAGTGTTAATTGGTAGGAATATTTCTTTTCTTTCAGTTCTTAAATTGCTGTTCATCGTTTACACCCGAAAGTTTGTTAACAAATATAGTTAATATTCCTCCATGAGACGTACGCGACATTCTCTGAAACTGACTATTGAAGAAACATACACAGAGTAAGAAACTAAAATGTCTTATCTTAATATTTGACATATTGATGCTTTTCACGAACCTCAATAGTATATATAAGACTTTATGATTATGCGGTATCGAATCAAGTGTTGATCGAGAGTCACCTCTCGAGTGCAAAGGGTTAACACGTTGACTAGAAAACAATTACAGGAAGAAAACTGATGTCGAACTAAAATTTTTAATAAGACGAGTAACTAAATAACAGTATAACTTAAGAACTATGATACCAAACTATTAATAACTGTATAACTCCATTACGATTTGCCTTTGGCCTCGTGATGGCCAACGTATCAATCTTAAGTCACAAGTACATTCGAAACATGAATATTCCATTCATAGTTTAAAGAATCTCAAACCTTTGATAGATCAAAAATACCCAATTTATAATCTGAAATCGTCCTGATCAAATTACACCGAGAAAAGTTAAACTCCAGCATCTGGCTCTCGGAAGAAACACACTTGCTTGCTTCAAAGGGAACAACCCAACATTTAATTAATCGTTCCACCATTACTGAAGATGAAGCATTTTAGGCAACGACGGTTCTAATTATAACACTGAGCTGCCCCCATTAGCAATCATGCGCGCAATTTATTAGCAACCGACAGCCATGTTGCTCGGGAATCACCTGTAATAAAGCGCAAATATCGTGGAAGCGATTACTACAGCCGTGTCCCAGGTGAACAGTTTTTTCGCGAAATGATGCATACCTTCGCGAAACTATAGCATACTGCGTGCGGCATCGGGACCGCCGACCATTTATCCGGGCCGCGGGTTATTAAGCGTGATAAAGTACTTACACTGTTTTCTCTGTGTTTTGTCGCGCAGAGCGTGGTAATGCTGATGTTCCGAGAAGAGAAGAGCCCCGAAGACGAAATTAAGGCGTGGCAGTTCTGGCATGGAAGGCAACATTCTGTCAAGCAGCGTATCCTCGACGCAGGTAAGTAAAGCGCCGTGCCCATTAAGCCCTCTCCTTTAAACAACGCCTGCCCACCCATTCGGGTTACAATCTAATCGGTGCAGTCCAAGTATCGTGCTTCTAGCCGTACTCCTTGATGCTTTTTCGAACGTCCGATCTCTTGGAGTCCAAAGTATTTTCTGTGCAAACCGCTTGGATCGTAGTGGCATCGGACAGATTACGCGTAGATCATGAATTCGTTGCGGAAAGAACAGAATAAAAATGATTTCTTATTCCTTAATGAGAAGTTGATCGCACTATCCTGTTGCTTTCCTGTGACTCGTAATTTTTGTAATAATCGTGTGTAGAATATTCAACGTCACTATTTTCTGCTGAAGCTCTTCGAATCATAGCGAAATTCACTGTAAAATAGAAAGACGAAAATGTTTCTTTTTCTGTAAAGTTAATTATTCGCTTATCCCCGTTTCTATGTTAGACGACTCGTAATTTATTACAATAATCGATGTGTTTACGATATTCAACGAAGTCTCGTATTTTCCATGCAAGCCGCTCGGATCGCAGCAGTATCGGTAAGACTACACGTAGATCGATCACGGAATTCGTTGCGAGAGAAACGGATAAAAATGTTTCTTTCAATGTTTTCTTTTTAATTAAGAAATGAATTACACTCGCCCTTTTGCCATTCTTCGCCAGGGTGATTTGCAACTTTAACAATAATCTTTGTACGATTACAGACACGAAGAACAGCGTGGGACTGGTGGGCTGCATAGAGGAAGTTGCGCACAATGCGATTGCCGTTTATTGGAACCCACTCGAATCCTCGGCGAAGGTATGAGAGTCCTTCGTCCGTTCATTACAGAGATTCCATTTGCATAGAACGATCTATAGGTGGCTTTAATGGAAGCCTGCTTATTCATGCGATTATTAAACAGCCGGGGAAAAATATTTTCATGAGCTCATCGTGGCGGTGCGCGCGCGCGCACGCGCTTGTCTCGTTACAGATCAACGTGGCGGTGCAGTGTCTTAGTACAGATTTCTCCAGTCAGAAGGGCGTGAAGGGATTGCCGTTGCACATTCAGGTGGACACGTATGAGGAGCCGCCGCCGCATGCTCACACCTACACGCCCCCGTCGCACCGTGGATATTGTCAGATCAAAGTCTTCTGCGATAAGGTAGACAACATACGCGTGTACACATTTATTTAACAATGTTAGAAACGTACAGAACGTCTAGGACGAAGGGTTCATCGATATTATAGATTCCAAAATCAACAGTTTCCGTGTCGAATCTACTTTTGCATTTACGATTAATTAATCTGGAAAGTCTCTTCGTGAAATGTGTTAACGGAAAGTTGAATTGAAGACACGGTACCTGTGTTCTTTATAACAGAAGAATGGTGTCAAAATTAATAAAATTTCTCACTTGTTTAAGCTACGCGTCATCCTTTCAATTTTCAACGGATTCTTTACGGTTTTTCAGTGATCATTCTTAGATATTTCAATTTCTGTTGTTATGAATATGTGAAAGCCTGTACGTCGATTACCATGACAGGGGATATAATTCTTCGATGTTTAACAGGGAGCCGAGAGAAAGACACGAGACGAGGAGAGGAGAGCGGCGAAGAGGAAAATGACCGCGACCGGTAGGAAAAAGCTTGACGAGCTCTACCATTCCGTCACGGAGCGCAGCGAATTCTACTCGATGGTGGATCTTCATAAACCACCTGTCCTGTTCTCGCCGCCGGCCGAGCACACCATCGACAAGGTACCGATCCAGACTTCTGATCTCGACGAAGGCAACGAAACGAAAGATTGTTAGATTAGTGGGAAATTAATGGGTCGCGGGAGTATTTACGGACTTTGAATGTTAAGTTCGCGGAGCGTCACAACTTGGAGATCATTAATACAATACACAAACCAAAGTACTTCTAAACGGTATACAAATATCAAGAACACAATATTATTCCCACCAAACTAATGTATTCTCTCTTACAAGTTCTTTGTTTTGATTCGAGATATGTAGATATATTTAGCTGGTAGAGGTTAGCTTCTTCTACGTTCAGATTAGCTTGAGAAAATTAAAAGTATCTACGTAGTCTCCACCACAATCCTCTGCTCTCAACACCGCCAGAACTCTCCACTAACCGCAACTCTTACATCGCCATAACAACCATAGCGAGTTCCAGGAACGAGTTGTTAGTACCCACCAGAGTAGTGTCAGTAGCAAGCTAGAAATACGATTATACTCGAGCCGATACATGTTCTCTGATCTTCAAGAACAAGCAAACACGAATCGTTGAATCCTCTTTGAAGCAATTGTAGTCTGCTTCTCGAAAGAAGACACTGGACACTCTCGGTCATAATATCTATCCAGCAGTAGAGTGGATAGTCGTTATAACCATCGCTTCACAAAGTGTTCGATTACGTATATTATACTATAAGAGATGACTTCGCAAGGTTCAAAGTGACACCAATATCGATACACCCGAAAAGCTGTGGTTTCAACTAATGTTTCTTAAGTTATCAGCAATTCTAGGCTACAATATGTTTTATTTTGGCTCACAAGATCATCCCTTAAATTATCCGATACACACAATCGAACAGCTAGTACGTCTCAAGTGTTCTCCAAGACACAGACTACACATCGAACTCCTTGCCTCCGTCTTTACGGGTACACAAACCGGTAAATCGAACAAGCATCGACAAATTCCGGAGAACAAATGTTCTGTTTCTTGTTCCACGACAGTTTTCGACAATGGAGTTGTCGGGCTTCTACGGAGGTGGCGGCGGGGGCGGTGGCGATACAGACACATCGTCCCTGAGTAATGGCGAGGGCGGAGGATTGAAGGCCGGGGGCAGCAGCCCCTATCCTGCCTGCGGCAGACCGAGCCTGCCGGCCCTCAAGTTTCACAACCACTTCCCGCCCGACAATCTGACTAGCCTGAACGACAAGAAGGACTCGTTGCTGATGCAGGTGCAGGAGCTGCATGGATCCGTGCTGCAGAGCGTGCAACAGGGTGGTCTCGGGGCTACGGTCGTCTCGGGGGTTGGAAACAGATTGCATCTCCAGCAACAGCCGCCGCATCTTCGACCGGCGGACGCTGAAGAAAGAGTGATGCTGTACGTTCGCCAGGAATCCGAGGACGTGTACACGCCTCTGCACGTCACGCCGCCAACTGTCCAGGGACTTTTGAACGCTGTAAGAGATACGGAGCTATTTTATTCTATCTTTTCCGATAAGAACGTCTAGAGACACTTCAGCGGATACGTGTTAAGCGTCAGGCGGAGCTGATGATCGAATTGGAAGGAGAATTTTGCGATCGTAGGGGATGCTGATGTAAATTTTAAAGTATTGCTAGTTAACTTTGATGATTCTGGACTATCTTGGTAATGTTAAGTCTCATTAGCTTAAAATTTCAATATTCAGATATTTGTATCTAATTTCTTCAGTGCTGACAGTGTTCAATACCTCCACATGGATAGTTTCAACTACTCTGAGCAACGAAAGTATTATTTTGTATTAAAATTAGTAACGGTAGTATCTCCGATTGCATTCTTACCTCTATTCGACTGAATCTCTGCATAGTATCGCGGTGACAAATTGGATCGACCGTCATCAGTCGCTGTTGAGGGGTTCGTAGAACAGGTTCCCTGTTAAAACCTGAATCTCATCATGGCATCCTGAATGTCTGCATAAAAACGAGTTAGGAAATAACAGACTTGTTTTTCGCACCCCTTGAGTCGATCTAGTTCCATCGAAAACTGAACGTCCGAAGGGCGGGAAAGTCTGAAAACGGTGAAAACGCCTATCGCCGTCGAAAAATCGAGCACAACGTTTCGCGTTGCATAAGCGGAGCCGCGGTTAAGCTCGGGTGAGTTTGAAAGCGCGCGCGTATCCCGTCCGGCGTCTATTTATACCGTGGACGCACGGTTTCGAAATCAACGGCGCACTGCAACAAGTTCCCGCTAGAAAGCGAGAGACACGCGGCGGCCCCGCGACGTTAACTCGCGGCTATCTCGACGCGGGCAATTAATCACGTATCGCGGCCGCGCTTTGATTCGACGTGATCTCTTGAGTAGTTAACCGTTCGAGTGCCAAACGTAATCGCGCTTCTCCCGTTTAGTACCTAAAGCTAGCCTATCGATTCTTGGACTCGAATCGAGTTTATTAATGTATCTTTCCTCCATTTCATTCATTGCCTTCTCAGAAATAAAAAATTAACGTGACTGCGACGCTTGGCATTCTTTAATCTGGACCTAGAAAACCGTAATCATGCTATCTACTGTTTTTTTTAATGGCTTTCCTATCTTTTTCTTTGTTTTCGGTTTGACGAAGCGAAAGAACTTTTGCGAAAGATCCGTGGCATTGTTAATTATTAAGTACCGCGGCGCGTCCGCGCGCGATTTTGATATGGCTAACGAGTGATGCGCGAGAGTAACACAGGCTCTACAAGAGACACGGCCATTCTCAAGTATTAAAAAGCCATGCATGCGAGGGACACAGCCACAAACTACCCCATTAATCAATTATACTTGTTTGCACCATTGTTCCATAAACGCTGGTTTGATTAATATTAACGCGCATGCCATCACCACCACCAAGAATCTCCTCGCAATTAATTCACCCAACAACCACCGACCCCAACCACCAACCCCCAGAAACAAACTCATATTGACACACATGTGCGAGGCAACGATCGATGGGTTTCGGCGTTAGAGGTGCGCCGCCCATCGTTGCAAGATCGCAACATTTTTGAACGGATCCAGTGCCAGAAGAAAAAAGTGGAAAGAAATGGATAAATGGTTTTTCTCGATGATCGCGTCTCTTCCTTTTCTCTGTCTTTCCATCTTGTATCTTTCTCTGTTTTCTTTTTTCTTTCTGTTTGTCTTTCCTTCTATCCTATTTTTTCTTTTGTTCTCGATTTCTGAATCATTGAAGACGATCGTGTCCCTTCGGGTTTTCCGTTGATCTTCTCTCG